TAAAGATAGGAAATAAATTCAACATTTCAACAACATTCAAAACAATAAACACATTGGGATCTATTTTGTCTAAAACCAAACCTAACAATGAACAATAAATGACAAAGAATTGCATTTATAAAATACTTTGTGAATGCGATCAGTTTTATTTAGGTGAAACATCAAGTCCATTAAATGTTAGAATAAGTGAACATCAATCTTATATTAAAAATAGAGAATTTGATAGATCTCAAGTATGTAAACACGCATGGGATAAAGAACATAGGGTTCAATGGAATGGATCAAAGAAGCGGGTCTAATTATGCTAAATGAGACCAATTGTGTTGGAAATTCCTCTGCAGAATGTAGTAGGATCTAATTACCCATATTGAAAGAGGAAGTTATTAAAAAGAAAACACCAGTATTAGTAAGTCTGTAACATATAGAGGATACATCATTTATGTTTTTTAAATAACAAACATATAAAATCAGAATTTGGTGTTTATTGAAGGTAAACTATATGACGAACAAATACTTACCATGTCGGGATAGTATTATTAGGTTTTTCCTGGTTTTTAGCTCATAATATACTAAGGAATCACTAACAGGGGAATTTTACTGTAATCATGACATGTGATTGTCTTTTTAAAGATGAATTACATGCTATTCTCAAGTTTAAGTTGATTTCATGTAATCGAATGAAACTATCTTACAAGTAAAGTCGTCCCAGGAACGCAACTCAACGATATTGGCGATAGCATTTAGTCATCTACTTTAAAATGTATAATGTATGTCTGAATTGTCAATATAAATGAGTCAGGTAAAATTAAATTAGAAGAATTTTTCACTGAGTAACAAAAACACAATTTGATGAATTTACTAATGTTTGTATTTTAAGAACGATTTCCGAAGTGGAAATTAAAACGTCAATAAACTAACTTTAACCTTTAATTGTGGCTTATTCCCACATTGAGATTTGAGAAATTGTAGACTAAATTACTGGATTCTTTTGTTGGTAGTTCCTTATTCTTTGGTCGTTGTTGTAGTATCAATTTTTCAAATTTTTTGATTTGTTTTTTCTTGGTGAGATCAGCATCTGTCTCCGATCGAAAGTTTGTGAGTTTGTCAAAGATGTTCCACGGAGTCGGATGTACTTTGATATTGTACTTAGTGTGAGATGTAGTTTTAGCAACTCTGAATTTACTTTATCGATGTCTCGTCTGGAGCCTCGAATTGATTCTCTAGTAAGTGCCAGACTTGCCCTTTTTAAAATATATTTTAAAATAACATATTGTGACATTTTTGTGACTTTTTAATGTTTGTATAAATTAAAAAAACTCTGAATGTGCTTTTTACTGTAATTTTTATTGTATTTATTAAATGTATTTTGTAACACCTCAACATATGCATTTGACATTGTTTGACATCTATATATGACTTTACAATCATTAGAACTGAAGAAGTGCAGAAATAGTGCACGAAACGTTTTCTATTAAAAGATTGAAATAGCTTTTTTTCATTTTTTATTTCTCCTTGACCGATATCCTCATTTACAGTGAGATTTTAATCTCACTCACATTGGAACATTGGAACAAATTCCAAGGTTTGTGACAATTATGAACTTCTACGATTTGAGACTAATTTTGTTGAATATATGGCCCTTAAAAATTTTCGCTATCGCGTCACGTCGTTTGCATAGATTGCAATCGATTGCAATAAATCAGTGTTTTGTTTGTCTTCTTTGGAGAACCATCTCTAAATGAAGCCAAATGTCCGTTTAAAAATTTTTAAATCTTCGTATCTACGAATATGAACATTATTTTCTGCAAAGTTTGTGTGTTCTTTGTTTGTTTTTTTTAAGTTAGTTCTAAATAATGAGTAAAGTTTACAGTACATATATAACATCTTTAATATACTACATATTGAGTTGTAAGTTATGAACTATTAGATCTGTATTTCTTATAAACTCTTATGTCATCTATTGTATTTTAGAGAACTGATGAAGCTTTAGAAATATAAAGCGAAACGTCTTCATTAAACTTATCAAGTAGTTAACTCTTATTTTATTTTGCCAACCTGAATGACCGAATAAACCTCTGAATTTACTAGTTGAATACTTTATAAATATAAATTGACGGTCGTAGTCTTTACAATATATATATATATATATATATATATATATATATATATATATATACATATATAAATATATATATATATATATATATATATATATATATATATATATATGTATATATAAGATGTCTATGCTGGGACATGGTTCATAGTGGGCCAACTGATCTGGCAACCTTGTACGTTGCGTCTAAGATCTCTAATCACTTGTGTTGAGTCATATATGTTCGTGCACGTTGTGTTTGTGAGTAATTTGCAGTTTCCGGCTAATAATAAGAAAAATATTTAATATTTTTAGTAAAAAAGGTAAGTCAATATATGCCATTTCTATATTAAGAGTCAAATAATTTCGTTTATAACTTTTTTATTAGTAAACATTTTAAAACCCTCTATATTGGCACAATATTTACTTGATGCCTCTTATATGTGCTATGGTTTAACTGAAAAAGAGACTAGAATTTTGGCTTATTCTTTTGCGATCACAAATTCAATTGTTATACCAGACACTTGGAATTTAAATGGTGCCGCTGGGAGTGAGTGGATGAAAAATTTCCGACATCGTAATTCTCGGTTGACGTTACGCACACCGGAAGCTACCAGTTTGTCTCGTGCGACAAGCTTTAACAAACACAATGTTGGTGAGTTTTTTAAAAATCTAACAAGAGTGCTTCAACAGTACAAATTTTGTGCAAGTGATATTTATAATTTAGACGAGACAGGAGTTACGACTGTGCACAAGCCTCCAAAGATATTAGCGCAAAGTGGTTGCAAACAAGTCGGAAAAATCACTTCAGGAGAACGGGGTATTTTAGTAACCCTGTGTTGTGTAATATCTGCAAATGGTACTTTTATTCCCCCATTTATGGTTTTCCCAAGAAAAAAATTTATCCCAAAAATGTTACAACACGCTCCTCCTGGTTCTGGTGGTTCCGCATTTCCTACAGGTTGGATGACTTCGAACACATTTTCAGAATGTTTGGATCATATTATTAAGCATACTAACTGCTCTCCTGCTAAAAAGATATTGATTATATTAGACAATCATGAAAGCCATTATGCAGTTGATGTTTTGAAGAAAGCAAAAGATAGTGGCATAGTATTATTGACCTTACCACCCCACTGCAGTAATCGGCTGCAACCTTTGGATATTTCCTGCTTTGGACCCTTTAAGTCATACTACAATAGAGCATCAGATGAATGGATGATTAATCACCCGGGTTCACCTTTAACAATTTATAACATAAGTGAAATTGTTGGTAAAGCATTTCCTTTAGCCTTTACCCCAACCAATATTTTAAAAGGTTTTCAGAAAACTGGAATTTGTCCGCTGGATTCCAACATTTTCACAGACCAAGATTTCATGATGTCCTACGTCACAGATCGACCGTCTGAAGTTGCAACTTTACCAAATCCAGAACGTCAAAATACAAGTGAAGCAAACACTCCTCCCGGGTCGTCCACTGAAGTTCATATTGTTCCCATAGAGAAAATATCCGTTAATTCAAATGAAATTAATACTGCCTATTTTGAACCTTCTGATTTACCTCCAGTAGCTGGACCTTCTCATTCTAAAGCATCAATATTAATAACACCTGAAGTAATTAGGCCTCATCCAAAAGCACCCCCTAGAAAAAATATCACCAAAAGAAAGAAGGGGCAATCACTAGTACTTACAGACACTCCTATAAAAGATAGAATAGAAGAAGAGTATAGACAGAGACAAAATAAGAAACAGTTAAAAGAAAATAAGAAACAGAAAGTCACAAAACAAGTGTTTGGAGCATTACAAAAAATAGAAACTAAAAAAAATAAAAACATATGTAGTGTCGATTTATTACCCAAAAAAAGGTTCAAGAGACAATCAAGCTGTGAAGAGTCCGAAACGGATGATGACATGGAATCAAACGCACTTTGTGATGACGAGGACAATGATTTAGAGGCAGATATTCATATTGGTGATTTTGTTATTGTGAAATACCCTACTAAGAAAACTGTTCGTCATTATGCTGGATGTGTTGAAGATGTTATTAACGGTGAATATGTGATTTCCTTCCTTCATAAAACATTGGGTAACACATTTACACATCCCGAAAAAGAAGATATTGATACAATAGAACAAGATAATATTGTAAAGATTTTACCGAAACCTAACGCAATAGGTTCAACGGAACGTTCAGCAAATCAGCTACAGTTCCAGTTCGATTTTTCTCCATATAAAATGTTTTAAATGCTTTCTGTAATGTTAATTTTAATATAAATAATTTTTTAAATATTTATAATATTGATTTCCCATCAGTACCTACTTATCTCCTGCTTCAACTCTATAGTCCCAGTATGAACCATATGTGTCCCGATATAAACCAATAGGAGTCCCACTATGAACCAATATTGGTCCATACTGGGACAAATGGTTCATACTGGGTCAATGATTATGCAGTCCTTTCTACTAACTTTATCTAAAACTCCAATTGACACATAATCGAAGATATCCAAAGCAGTGATTGTGTACGTTCAAAGAGTTAAAAAAATAAGAGATGCACCTGAATGACTGAAATGTTTGAAAGTGTCCCAATATATATATATATATATATATATATATACATATAATTATTATACAACGTTGTGAGTTGTGGTTTAATCCCATATAAAATAATACTCAAGATGCCACAAGAAAACAGTTTCATAAACTGAAGGTAAAGGATAAGAAAATGGTCAGATAAGCAAATAGAAATTTACTTCTCGAAGAAATTTAAAATTGTCATATAATAAAATTTAATAAACTACTGTAGTATATTAAAAAAAACAGCTTTTACTTATTTCTAGAAAAATACATTAAATGCTTCATATTTATTAAAAATATATTTAACAGCTATTCAAAAAGACGTACATAAACATTAATAAGGGTTGTATTAATTGTAGTACTTTTATTTATTTATTTGTTTAAAATTGGATTATTAAGTAATTGAAGGGATTCAAATCTAATATCTTCCATTGTTTCGTTTTCAATAAAATCAATTTCATTATTTTCAAAATTGATTTTGTCCAACGAAATATTAAACATCCCTTTTTTAATCTTCCTAAGTTTATTATTACTCAAATTAATAAAAACGAGACCCTTAACCTCATCGAATGCTCCAACTTCAATTTCAGATATTTCGTTATTGGATAAATCCAATTCTTCAATCTCTTCTCCACAAAACAAACCTTTTTTAATACATGTCAATTTGTTGTTGTTCAGATGAAGTCCTTGAATAGTAAGACCTCCAAAACTACCCGGTTCTATTTCTGTAATCTGATTCTCTCCTAAATATAAATCTTCCATAACGTAGTCCAGACCAGATAAAAGAGTCTTTGACACCTTTTCCAATTTATTTCCTGTTAAATATAGATATTTTAAAGGTAGATTTGCGAAAGATCCTTCCTCAATGCTAGTTATTTGATTATTTGCTACGTCTATTGCTCCAAAATTTAATCCATTGAAGACCCCTTTTTTAATTTGGGTAAGTCTGTTACTCTCTATGTAAATTCCGATAATCTTAGAACCTTCAAAACATCCTGGCTCCAATGCTGCAATTTTGTTATTTACTAGGCTTAAATTGTATAATTCTTTAGTTTCTAATTGACAAAATATGCTCCCTAAATTATCAATATTATTATCGTGTAACATTAAGTATGTAAGGTTATTGATTTTTTTAAATGTATTATCATGTATTTTGCTAATTTGATTAAATTCTAATCTCAAAGTATGAATACTAGAACCTTCAAACATTGCTGGTGTTAGTTCTGACAATTGATTATCTTTCATAGCCAACTGATTTGTAACAAAGCCTTCAAGAGCCCTATCTTCAATGTCTGAAATTTTATTTTGCATTAAATTTAATATTTCTATGTTCTGTCCATTAAAAACACCTTTTGGCAAAATGTGGATGTCATTGTTTTCCAAATAGAAATGTTTAAGAGCACTACCACTTAAAGAACCTTCTTCTAGAACTGACAGCCCGCATCGGGAAATATCTAGTTGTTCAAGATTAACACCGTCGAGAGAATCACTCGGTAAAACTGGAATTTCTTGCTCCTCAATTCTCACAATGCGCACTTCATCTCCAGATAGAAGCAAAAGATTCCTGAGTTGTGTTATGGAATCGATAGTCACGTCTAAAATAAGCTCGTTATAATCAACAAAGCCGCGAATTGCTATTTTTCCGTGCCGCATTTTCAGAGTCGATACTGTATTAAACAAATGTTTTTGGCTCTAGTATCGATATGTTACTGCAAAAAAATTGTGAGAATACAGCGTCCGGCATCGTCTACGCATTCCCATTAAATATAGATTTTCGGAGTCTATTTTTCTAGATTTGTACAGAGTGATCCACAACTTAATTTATTCAGAGTTAATTCAGAGTTAACCTATTCAGAGTTAATTTTGGCATTAAAACAAACCAGAAGCACGGCTTCAAATATAAAATTTTACACAATCTTACAGTTTCAGCTAAACAAATAATTTTAAAAATTTTTAACAACTGGTGGGTAAAACAAGATTATGCTGAGAATTTAAAAAATATTGTTATATGTTTAATAAAAAACCATCTAAAGATCCAAAATTACCATCATCATATCGACCTATTTCGTTAATGTCTTGTCTGACCAAGACTTTTGAACGCATGATTAAGTTTCGCCTAGAATATTTTATTGAAAGCAATTCTCTCCTACCCACTACACAGTATGGATTTCGGAGAAGCCGTAGTACTATAGAGATGCATTGACCCATATGGTTACATATGCACAAAAAGAACAGTATATAACGGTTTGCAGGGATCAATATTGAGTCCACTTTTATTTAATGTATACATGTCCTCCGGAGGCGTGTCAGGCAGAAGCTGACAGCCGTGCCGGACGCATTTAGAAATTCGGAGAAATACTTGGAAATTCCAAGTTTGGGCAAATCCGAATTTCTAATTGACTCGATGCAGGGAAATTCCACTTTTGCTACGTAAAACAAAGGATTTGTTTTATATAAAAGCAGATGGAATTTCTCTCATCGGTCAGTCGAGCTTGCCTCTTCTTCTGTAGACCTAGTCGGTGCTATTATTGTTCCGACTAAGCTATTGTTTTATTTCTTATTTCCTGATAACCATTTATATTTTATTATTGTATATTCAGACCTTTTCAGGTTAGAATATTACTTTGACTTATATTTGTTCATATACTGATTATTTGATATTTTATTTGATTATTTTGATTGTTTATTTTTCTTGTATTTTGTATCTAAGTTGTTCTTCCGTAAGTTAAGAACACTTAGAAATATTTACCTTACTTTTTTCTATTTTATAAATTTGATTTTGTACTTTGTGTCTAAGTAGTTCTTTCCGGTAAGTCAAAGAACTCTTAGAAATATTTCTCTGATATTTGACTTGTTAATTTTATTGTGTGCCTAAGTCATTCTTTTCCGGTAAGTCAAAAGAACACTTAGAAATATTTTCATAATCATTATTGCATTATTATTTCCGATATTTATCTAAGATATTTTCTTAATATATTTGTCTCTTTTATTTTACCATTTCATGCTGAGTTGTTTCTTCCGTAAGTCAAGAAACACTTAGCAATATTTCCATATCTTTTCTGTATTTGATTTTCTTATTTTCTATTATAAGTTGTTTCTTCCGTAAGTCAAGAAACACTTACAAATATTTGTATTCTTATTTTACTATATTTGATTCTCTTGTTTGTTTTCTGTTCTAAGAAACACTTAGAAATATTTCCATACATTGTTTCATATTTACATATTTCATTTATCTATATTTCTGTCTTAAGTTGTTTCTTCCGTAAGTCAAGAAACACTTAGGAATATTTCTGCACTTTTCTGTTCTTTTATTCTTGTGTATTTTACTTTTCATTCTAAGTTGTCTCTTCCGTAAGTCAAGAAACAATTAGAAACATTTTCTGTGCATTGTATTTTTATATACCATTTTATTTCCTTGTTTACTAAGTTATTTCTTTCGTAAGTCAAAGAATACTTAGATTATTTTACCTGTTCTGTTTTCTATTTTGATCTGCTATTTTGTAACTGTTCCTTGGAACTGTTACCTATAACAGATACTTGTCACGGTAACTGTTATTTTATACCAGTAGCAGTATTAACACGTTTTACCAGCGACAAGCAAAGATGGTCAACACCCGATCAAATTCCGGGGACAGGAAGAAGTCCGAAGAGCCGGCGATGGGTCCTACAGGCCCAAATGCCCCCTCTCGGCAACATACACAGAAGAGCTGCATAGTTTGATGGATGACACTATAAAAGTTATTTAGTACGCAGATTTAGAGTATATTTTTTGCTGTATGCGTAATTGGTTACATACCATGAGTTTTAGTTTTTCACAGCAAAAGACAGCGGTTATGTGTCTTACTAGGCACATACTTAAAATCCCTGATTTGTATACCATAGGTAATTTTACGATACCCATAGTAAAAGAACATAAATATCTTGGCATCTCTATTGATAATAAACTCCTATGACCAGCCACATAAAACACGTAAAGCAAAAATGTGAGAAAGGGCTCAACATTCTGCGTGTAGTTTCTAAATATAAATGGGGTGCAGATGTTAAAATATCCCTTACATTTTATAAGTCATATATCCGCTCAATAATGGATTATCTATTTATACCTCAACTAGCAAATAAAACTTATTAATCTTAGACAGAATTCAATATAAGGCAATTAAAAAAAGTCTATAGTTTATTTCGTCATGGTAGTCGCCTGAATCTTTTTTTGCTAAAAATACACATTCTGAATTTGGTAGAAAACCTCTATCAGAACCAACATGTGACAAGACAGATCTCGGACCTTTCTGTTTTGGATAATTTAGACCAGTAGTCAAGCCTTTTAAAACTGCATCCTTATAACTAGTTATGGTTTAATCCATCCATACCTTATTTACTGTACGTCCGATATTTACTCAACTTTCATCCAAATAGAAAATATTGTATCCTTAATTTCGATAATTCTGTATTTTTCTAAGAAATTTATGCCTCCAATTTATTATGTCAGGACGTTCCATCATTACTGCTTTCTTTCCTCTTTTTTCATAAACAAACCCCATCTCTCGCAATAGTCGACATAGAGTACTTTTGGACAATTTAGGCAAATGTTCATGTAAATTAACGGCATCCAGGATAGCTTTGATGCTGGGAGGTATGTTCTTTAAGAAAAATTCCATGTGAACAAGTCTTCTCACTTGGCTCCTGATATTCTCATCGTAGGTAAACTCCCGATTGGTTTCCTTCTTGGTCCGTTTACGTGGGTTTTTCAGAATTTTGGGTAAGTCTCCATTATGATCCAATCCTTCCTGACGAATTTTCCAGACTGTCCTATCGCTAACACCCAGCGCTGTACTTGTTGTAGAAACAATTTGTGTTGGAGTCAGATCGGAATTTGTTTTTGTTGTATATATCAACATATTCAAAATAATTTGTCGCGCATATAAATCTAAGATTTGTCCTTGTTTGAAACTTTTCACCTCTAAATGCTCCATGTTTTTGACACAGTACATAAAAAAAGTTTAAAAATAAATTGCACTTATTTTTTGACAAGTTAACGTACCTTCTCGAATGCACACACAAAACAGTTAAACCATTTCTACAAACTGCAAAACTGCTATAGATATACGCACTCGTATAACAATTAGTAGATACTATTATCAGGAAAATTCTAAATGGATATTTAATTACAACAATACCGAAATTTCTACACGGTTAAACCATTTCTACAAACGCCCATTAGTCAGTAAGCTATTCTATGAATTCTACGACTTTCACTTCGGAGGTCTTCATGAATCTGACTCATTCATATCGGCAAATCAGACATATTAAACATTTTAAAGTAGAAGACATCAAAATGATATTGCCAATATTTATGAGTTGCAAGGATTTTATTGAAATATAGTTAATTCAATTATATGAAATCAACTTTAACTTAAAAATATCAGTCACAAAAATCATAGCATGTGAGTAGTGTTTTAGGTTAAATCTTCGTATTTTGTCCTAAGTTATCTCCAGTTACTATATGGATAACTGTTAATAAAACACCCTGTATAATTAATACTAAAATATAAATGATGTATCCTCGATATATTTTTGACTTATCTACTAATCGTGGCATTTTCTTTCTATTCATTTCAATTCTATTCAAAAGGTCTCCAAACATCCATTTCCGTAAATATGACAACAAGAGATGTAAGAAATTTTCTATTCGTCAAATACAACAGTGCTCAACAATTGATAAGGATCGAAGTAATATTTTACTCCAGAAATAGCCGAAGTTTGTAAAAATTTAATATAATTAAAGTAATATTAATACCCCGACTTTATTATCAATTTTAAACGAAATAAAATAAATTTTGCCATTATGGCCATTTTTTACTAGGGTCAGCAAAAAGTTGAATATTAAAGTCGTCTATTTTCATTTATTCTATTCAAGTCATCATACTAAGATCTCAACAAACTTTTAAAATATTTGAAATCATAATTATGATCCTTATCAATTGTTGAGCACTATATTACGACGACGTCCGAATATTTTCTGGAACAGTCATTAGGGCAAATCAGTGAATGTTAGTGCAAAATTGCAAGTGCTCCGTGTGTAAGGGAGTGTTAAGTTCGAAGCCGGCTCTGCCACGTTGAGGCCGACGATGAACTAGCAACGCTGCAGCGTTTTCTTCCATTTGATTAACATTGTCCGTAAGAGTCAACGCTGAAATCTACTGGTGAATCAGAGAGGAACTATGATGTCGTCACCTAATTGTGCAGTTCTCGCTGAAGCACAAGAACCGCCTTTGTGCCTTCGAAGAGAGTATTTAGCTAATAAACAGCTAATAAAGTACAGGACGTTTAGTACATTTCTGATCAAAAAATATCAAATACAGCGGTCCAGAATCTTACAAACAAATATTGGAGAATTAAAACGTCTCCCCCGCTTGCTGATGCTTTTATTGACACTGAGAGATATAAAGAACTAATACATAGTCAAAAAATATCCTGTTTACGAAATTATTTTGAAGCCTTAATATTTAAACCAACCATTACAATTCCAAACTATCCAGATAATATATTTCTATCAAAATTAATTTTCAAATCTCTACTCTGTAATTTAGGAGAGAATAAAATCATCATCTATACGTATGGATCAAAAAATATTTAAAATAGGCTGTGCATTTTTAGTTTCTAATATTAACCATGTTGAGCAATATCAAGTCCCACATTATTTATCGATTTTTAGTGCAGAAGCTATAGCTATTAGGAAAGCTTTAGATTGGTGCCAGTTGAATTTACCTTTATCTGTGGTAATTGTAACAGACTCCCTCTCTCAGTTTTGCTGGACATATGCCTCCCTCAATTCTTTCCAGTGTTCTCTACAGTGGGCCGCTTGTAGCCAGTTTCCCGCTACACGTTTTATATCATCGGTCCATCTAGTCGGTGGTCGTCCTCGGCTTCTTTTATAGCTTCTGGGACTCCATTCCATAATACGTCTTGTCCTCCGTTCATCTTGTGTTCTGGCTAAGTGCCCTGCCCAGTTCCACTTAAGCGTCGTAGTTCTTTCGATAACGTCTTGAACTCCCGATCTTTGCCTGATTTGTTGGTTTATTATGTGGTCTCGAAGGCTCACGTTCAGCATTGCACGTTCCATGGCTCGTTGTGTAACTCTGAGTTTATTCACAGATTTTTGCGTGAGTGTTAAAGTCTCTGCTAAATAAATTTGTACAGGCAAAACACATTGGTTATAAACCTTTGCTTGATACACATGGGAATTGAACTATTTAGAATATCGCTTAATTTGCCAAATGCTACCGATGTCAGGCCTATTCGCCTCTGTATTTCATGTGTTTGATTATCTCTGCTTATTTTGATCTCGTATCCCAGATATTTGTAACTGTCTGTTTGTTGTATGGTATTATTAATAAACGTACAAGTGTATGCTTAGGGTCAAATAATAGAACAGGTAAATTCCATAAAATATTTGGGACTAAATATCAATAGTCCATGTAATCCAAAAAAAAAAGAAATCCTATCAAGAATCGAACAAGCAAGGAAAACATTCATGAGCATGAAAACATTTTTTTACAAGATCAGTCCTTAGTCTGCAGCTTAGAATCTGAATGATCAGATGTTACGTTTTTTCTGTCTTACTGTATGGCTGTGAAAGTTAGACAATGGACTCTGAAATAGAAAAAAGAATAGATGCCTTAGAATAGAATAGAAAAAAGGAAAATGCAATACTTGGGTCATGTGTTCAGAGGTGAAAGATATGAATTACTGGAAGGAAAAGTACAGGACAAAAGATCAGTAGGAACTGAGGAGATGGTTCGACCGCCCATCCGCAGAAATCTTTCGCGCAGCAGTTCCCAAAACTACAATTGCCATTTGGATCACCAACCTTCGAAAGGAGAAGGCGCCATGATTAATTTGATCTTATTATAAAAAGTTAATATAACTTAGCTAATAATTTAATAGAAGATTTATTAATTCTAAGATGGCATCAAGTTCGCCGGGTTAGCTAGTTCATAAATTAAATACAAACCACCTTACATGTTTGTATGTTTCAATATATCTTGTTGAAAATTCCCTGACAGAGTTCTGATCGCAGGTAAGACCTTTCTATTAAAGCTGTTATTTTATCAGAACCTTTTGAATAAAAATTCATGAAATAATTGTGTAGTAAAATAGTTTTTAACGGATGAGTCGACCGGGAACACCTTGTAATTTTAACTTTTCCATATCTATTTCAGTCCAGAAGTCAACGAACTTCCTATGCAATACGATAATATAACTATATTCCTTATGGAATAATTAAAGCGGACTATCTCAGACCTACAGCCCACGCGTTACGTTCTTACAAAATGAGAGCAATAAATGAAAATACTTTATTATATCCATCTTATATTCAGTTTACTCACAAAGTTATTTTCGACCCGTGAAAAATACTAAAACTAGACGTAAACGTGAAACCTGAAACGCTGCCAAATCACCAAGTTTTGATTCATCTTTTCGAAATATTCTAGAAATAGCGAGAATACTGTTGCAGCAGGAGTATTTACATATTGTGGTGTATATAATACTGCTTTCCAAGGTGAGGGGCGTCACAATCGTGCTTAGCTTCGCTGTGGTAAGGTGCATCTGACGAAGAAAAACCATCAAGGTAAAAATAATTTTTTAACACTTTTTTAAACAGGTTAAATAATTGGAAAATATTTTAACATTTTACATTTGTTTAAGTTAATCCAAAATAAATTATAGCTTTTTTATTTCAATAAAAAAGCAATATTAACGATATAAATAGCAATAGAGACGATTCTATTATCTCGTCAAACTCAATATTTTGCTAATATTTATTTGCTTCATCAGGAGTGCACTAAAATTATTAACAACAATTAATACATAGAACATACTTACAAACAAATAAAAACTTACATAATGAATCATTAAAACAGAAACAGCACATCACAGGATTTTGAAAATTATACTAAAATAATAACTAATAGCATTTTTAAAATATATTAACTTTTTTTTCTTAACTATTATTCCTTTTTAACTGCAAAAAAATATTAATTACTACTGCATTATTACATACTTAAAAACACTACTGTAAAGAAATACTTTGTCTAATAAATGTTTCTCTTTCTTTTTCTAATTCTTTTAGAATTGTAATTTTTTGAAAAAATTGTTTAAACAGAAACAATTGAATTTTGAGAAATTATAAATAAATTATAATAGCAACCAATCATCATCCAGCCTCAAGAGTCCACTGCTGAACATAGGCCTCTTCCTCATGTTTCCAACCCCGTCTATCTTGCGCCGCTCTTATCCAGTTTTTATTGAGTCTTCTTAAATCGTCAGTCCATCTTGTAGGTGGTCGACCGACGCTTCTCTTGTCTTCCCTTGGCCTCCATTCCAATAACCTCTTTGTCCATCGCCCATCTGTCATTCTGGCTATGTGTCCTGCCCATCTCCATTTTAGTCTGGCTATCTTCTCGATGATGTCAGTCACTCCGGTTCTTCTCCTGATGTCTTCGTTTGTTATTCTGTCTCGGAGAGTTATTCCTAACATGGACCGCTCCATTCTTCTCTGCGTGACTCTCAGTTTGGTAGCTGCTGCTTTTGTTAAGGTAAGTGTTTCTGCTCCGTACGTCAAGACTGGGAGGACGCACTGATCAAATACCTTTCTCTTTAGGCATGTGGGCAGCTCACTTTTAAAAGTTTCTCTCAGTTTTCCAAATGCTGCCCACCCAAGGCCGACTCTTCTCTTCAGTTCATGAGTCTGGTTATCTCTGCCAATCATAATTTCATGTCCCAGGTATTTATATCTATCTACGAGTTCTATTTCTTTCCACCAATACTGATGTTCTGGTTGGGCACCAAATTGGTCATGATTTTTGTTTTCGAGATATTTATATTTAAACCTACATTTTCTGTAGCCACAACGAGTTCCTGTACCATCTCTCTTGCCATACCTAGATCTTCAGCTATTATAAGTATATCATCGGCGAAACGTAAGTTGTTTAGATATTCTCCATCTATTTTTATTCCCTTTGTCATCCAATCCAAATTCTTAAAAGCATGTTCTAGCACCGTATTAAAAAGTTTAGGTGACATTGGGTCTCCTTGTCTAACCCCCCGTTCTATTTTTATGCGATTACTGTTAGTATGTAATTTGACAGTGGTTGTTGCCTGCAGGTATATTTTGTATAATAATTTAGTATATCTATAATCTAGCCTGCATTCTTTAAGCGCCTGTAATATTTTGCTTAGCTCAACTGTGTCAAAGGCTTTGTGAAAATCGATAAATATTAGAACTAGAGGTTTATTGTATTCCACTGCTTTCTCTATTAGGGTTTTTATACTTTGTAGATGGTCATTTGTTCCGTAACTTTTTCGGAATCCTGCCTGTTCCCTTGGTTGATAAGTCTCTAATTTTCTTTCCATTCTCTTAACTAGTATTCGCGTAAACAACTTATATATATGGCTGAGGAGGCTAATCGGTCTGTAATTCTCTAAATTTGCTTTGTCTCCTGCTTTGTGTAATAGAATCATAGTAGCGTTGTTCCAGTCTGTTGGAATATTGGCGCTGTGAAGGCAGATATTGAAAAGTTGTTTAATTTTTTCAAGTAATACATCCCCTCCAATTTTTAGTGCTTCTGATACTATTCCATCTTCACCCGGGGTTCGATTATTTTTCATTTTCTTCAGGGCTTCTTTGATTTCTGATTTTGTTATATTGGGCATTAAATCTGATCCTTGGTTTAATACCCCAGTTTTTAGTGTAATTGGAGGTTCCGTATTGTTATCTTTTTTTCTTGATCTATATAACTCTGTGTAGAACTCTTCGACTATTCTTAATATTTCATCTCTGTTCGTTGTTTCTTCTCCAGTTCTGTTTCTCAGTTTGTTAATTTCTATTTTCCCCTTTTGTACGCTCCTCTTCAAAACTTTCATGTTCTTATTTTTCTCTATTGCCTGTTTTGTTTTTTCTACATTGTAGTTTCTTATGTCTTTTCTTATTGCCTTTGTGATCGTGTTATTTATTTGATTTATCGCTTCATTGCTTGCAGTGTTATTTCGTGGGTTGACTCAGTTTTTCATCTTTTTTGCTTGTCGGACAATATTTAGTTTGAGCCTGTTGCATTGTGTTGACTATTTGTTTGTTCAATATATTGATGTCAGCTGTTGTTGTATCTTTCAATGAATTCCAATATATTTTTCGAACTCCTGAATGTTAGTTGGTTTTGTCCATTTCTTTGGTTGTTTCTTATTTATCATTTTGAGTCTTTCTTTTTCGGTTGATATCGTTATTTTAGCTCTTACTAACCTATGATCACTGCTTGTACTGAACTGGTTTAGCACATTTACGTCTTTAAATAATTCTTTTTTGTTTGTTAAGAAATAGTCGATTTCGTTCCTTGTTTTTCCATCAGGACTTTCCCATGTCCATCTTCTGTGTTTTTTCTTTTTAAAGAAGCTGTTCATTTGATAGAGATTGTTTTCCAAAAGGAAAGTCAGTAGTTGTTTGCCTCTATCATTTCTGCCTTCGCTTCCAAAATTTCCCAATATTATTTCAGAGGGGTCTTCCTTAGTGCCTATTTTGGCGTTGAAGTCACCACCTATTATTAAGAAGTGGCCAGGATTTTCCTTGATTGCACAGGATATTTGGTCGTAGAATATTTGGACTTCTTCGTCTGGATGTCCTGTAGTAGGGGCGTACACTTGAATGAACTTTAGGATATATCTGGCGTTTATTTTGATGTTTAAGTAGACCACTCTTGTTGAGATTTGGTTTATTGACACAATTCTGTTAGCAATTCTTTTGTGAATAAAGAAGCCGACGCCTCCGACTGTCGATTCCTCTTCTCCTTTGTAATAAAATAAATGGCCTGATGGGAGTGAGGTAAGACTCTCTCCCTTTTTTCTAACTTCGCTGATACCTACAATATCCCAGTTCACTTTTGAGAGTTCTTCCTCCATTTCTTCGAATCTTTCTTCGGTAGAGAGTGACCGAGCATTATATGTGGCGATGTTGAGGTTTATCTTTTTGACGCACATTGAATAGGGTTGGTTTACAGTGGTCGGGTTTTTGGCATTTAAACACCGTGCTTGCCTAGCATGTTGGTGAGTATTCATATTTATTCCCACGAGTAGCTGGGGAACGTTGGTCGATTCCTGTAGAGCCCCGCGTACAGGAACAAGGCTAATATTCAATGGGATTTCGCCCGGTGTCCCAAGAGCATCGTTAGCGGCCGCGTGACGTGCAACCATTCAGTTTTTAGCACGATAGCTTCCACCTTAACTTACGGATTTTTTGCATCTGGTTTTCTCCATATTTTTGTTGGGTAGGATGGGGAGGGAAAGAAGGTGTGGATGGGAAGAATATATTAGAAAGAAATATAGTGACCCGTCTGCCTTCGGAAACCTAATCGCCATTCGGGGTCGGAAGAAAACAAGAGTTAGCCAAGAGAGGCTGATAGAAAAAGATTAAAGACATTTTACTCAAGACAAGTTGAAGAAGAGTAAAATGTGAAGGCTCTTATGATCCGCCAGGTGCGTTTCATAAGAGTATGAGTATTGGTACATTTTGTGTTCCCGCTCATACTTCGGGGTGTTGACTACAGACTGTATGGCTCGTCCAGCATGCCATAGCATGGATGGATGGGGTGCACGCCATTTTACAATGTACACACCCCAAACTCCATGGCCTGACAATCCAATAGAACTTACAAATAACCCTCAATGCCGTGAATGTCAACTTACAGTTTGTATTTGAATTTATTTTTGACAATTATATTGCCAAAATTATATGTGATTGCGGAACCATGGGAACAGTGATTCATATCTTCTTTGAATGTCCCATAAACAAACACAAAAATATGGATCTGTATTAAGAACTATTAAAAGCAGGAATAGAGAGTCCAATATCTTTACATAGTATTCTATATAAATCCTCTGACAAAGTTATAAAAATAATAAATAAACTCATCAATTTTTTTCAAATCGATCTATAAAAAAATTTCTCGTCAAAATTAAAAAAAAAAAAAAAATAAATTTAGAAAATATTGGAAATATCCTAACATATAAAAATTTACGTCCTTAAAATCCTTAATCCTAACCGAAGGTAGCATTACCCATAAACCTAATGTGACAATATTTGGAAGCTACCCCCAAACGAGAAAAGTCTAATCTAAGCTTAAATGAAGAAAATAAACAAATGAAAAAGGTGATCTTTCAGTATCATCCAGCTGTCAATTAGCAGTAAACATTCCCTGGCCCTAGAGCAAGACGAGCATAACCTTACATGTACTGGGTAAATGATTATATAATCGAAATCCAAAAAAAACGAAGAAAAAGAAAATTTAGTTAAATATTCTTTTTTATTTAATATTAAAAAAGAAGATTTATTTATTATACACAGATACCTAAAAAATGTAACAAGTATATGGAAAATTAAATTAAAATGTGATATTTTACTGGTTTTATAAATGAATTATAGAGAAATAATATAATTATAAATTTTTCTTAGATTTTAATTTCTGATCTTTTGTTTAAATTATTATCACTCTTGCTAATACAAACCATTTCTAAAATATCCTTTTGAATTTATTACCTTCATTACATAAAATTTTAATGTTATCAAAATCCATAATACAGTGG